GAGTAAATGAGTATATAATTTTATGTATTATAATTAGAATCTTAATAAAGTACTGGCGAAACTGCCTAAGTGGAAAAAAAAAAAAAAAAAAAAAGTAAATCTTTTTGCTAAAAAAATTTTTTTGTTAACTAATTTCTTAAATTTTTGTTTAATTTAAATTTAGTTTTTATTACTATTAAAAATCTGCTATATTTTAATTTAGAATTTGCTAACTGGTTTTAAATCTTCAAGTTTTTGAATTAGTTTTATATGATTTTAAAAACCTTATTATATATTTGTACTACTTATACTAGTTTGTATTTTTTTATATAATATATATATTATATAAATGTTTTTTAATTTTTTTAGTATATAAATAATATTAATATAACTAAAGCTACAAATAATAATATTTAACTTTGTTGCAGGTATAGCAGCTAGTGTAGAATCTAAGGTGGACTACTTAAATAGACAACTAAAAGTTGCATGTGTGGCTAGTTGTATTCTTATTTGTAAAAAGAATCAGTGAGTTTAAATAGGTAATCTTCTAGTTAGATTGCAGGTATGGCAGCTAGTGTAGAACCTAAAATAGGTGTACTACTTAAAATAGATAACCAAAAGTTGTATATATGGCTAGTTGTACCATCGTTATAACTGAAACTTAACTTTTAATAAAATGTTATGGCCAAAGGAATCACCTTTAATACCAAAAAAAAAAAAAAAAAAATTATATATATTAATTTAGCTTTAGAATTTGTTAGTTAAATAGCAATTCAGTTTAAGTACTGTATGTAAATAAATATAGGTAGTAGTTTATGATTAATATTGCTAAAAGTTCAGTGATGATTAAAAATAGGATAGAATTATTATTTAAAATATAATATGTATAGCAATAATTAAAAAATAAAGCTTTTGTAGCAATAAAACAGTTACTGTATCCTATCGTAAATAAGCACTCATCGTGAATAAGCACCTCTTATAACAAAAATTGCTAATTATGAATAAGCACCCTTGTGACTTGATTGTACAAATGCACATCCTGAAAATTCAATATTCAAAAATTTTAATATAATGATAAGTTGAACTTTTGAATTTAAAACAAGATAATATATTTTTTTTTGTTATTAATATTAATATATACAACTAACTGTTATTTTATATTATTAAAAATAACAGGAAAATACAATTTATAGCAGTAGCGACAAATTTACAAATATTTTAATAGCAATTATATGTAGCAAATATTTCAAATTAATGATACTGTTTCAATATCTTTTTCATTTTCATTTGCATTATTGAATATAATAATATGCTTATTATTATCTTCACCTCTTCCAATTAATTCATTTTTTGAATCATCTAAGGCATTAGATATTCTACATTTCTTAAAAGACTTGATTATAATTTCTGGTAAAATATCATTCCATGCTTCCATAATCAAGTGGTACATTAAATCTTGCTCTGGCTTTTTTATATTTCTAGTTTTAGTAAATCTATATTCTCCAACAGCCATTCAAACTCTCTATTTATCACAAAGCCTGTCTTTAAATAGCTTATTAATACTTACATATAAAAGTTGTACAATAGATATAAGTTCTTCAGATATAATACCCAAAACAGTATTGGCTTTTTGAATTTCATTTTTTACAAAATCAGTTACATGTCCTTTAAATGAATCTAATACTAACAAAGATCTTTTTTGACTTTTAGCTCTTCATAACCAAACTGTTTTTATCCAATCTATCATTAATTCCTCATTCATCCATGCATTATTCTACATTATAATGATTAATCCAGGTGGAAACTGAACTCTGGGCTTTCGTTTTTCTTTGAATATAACCATAGATGGATGCTTGGTCTCATCTGCTAAAACTTCCAAAACACAAGTAAATCAATTTTTATTATTTGTTATAGTATGCAGATTTACTGAATAAGTACTACGAAGGTCAAGTGTAAGAGCACCAACTATATTAAAAAAAATAGGAGTTTCATCTAAATTAGCTATGCAGCTTAGGTCAAAATTATTGTTTCTTTATGATTGATTAATATTTTCATAAAATGCTAAAAGTTTTTCTTGCAAATCTCTAGGAAGTTTTGATGAAACTTTAGTAGGTTTGTGAAGAGAAAAGTTGAAATAATTTAAAAAGTGATTAAACCATGAATCTGAAGCTTGAAATCCATGCACATCAGAATAAGTTTGGCTAAATTTAGTAACAAGTAGACGTCTCATATGACTCTTGACATCAGAAGGTGTAACACCTATTTCTCTTTCACGCAAATTAATTATCCCTTTTTTAGTAATTTTTCAGCAAGTGGATACCATGGTGAAGAACCTGATCCTATTCTGCAATTTGTTTGTTTTGCTTTTTTTTAAATCTTCTTCTTTTTTCGCTATCTACTAATTTGTGTATAGTCAACATTGAATTGTTGTGCTGCTGAATGATTGTTTGTTTGTTTTGCATAGTTAATAGCATCAAGCTTTATATTCACAGGATAACTTTTATGCTTTTCTTTCAGCATTTTTATAAAACATAGAGATATAATTTATATAGTTTAATAAATATATCAAAAACAAAAAAAAATTGTTGTCTTTTATATTTTTCTTTAATGTTAACATCATAATTAGATAACAAATTATTAATTAATCAATTTATTTGACTCAAAATATATTAATACCGTATACTTCTGAAATT